GAGATCTTCTCCAAAACCCCAAAACCCCAAAACCCCAAAACCCCAAAACCCCAAGATTAAAGTTTAATAAGAAATTAGGTGGCTCAAAAAATTCAAACAAATTTATTAATGGTTGAAAATAACAAATAGTAACTAGAAGATAGTAAGGTTTTCGAGAAGATCTCCTAGACATTCTCCACTACAGATATCAGGACAGTATACGCATTCGAGAAGCTCATTGGAGGTGGACATTTCGGATCAGTTAGATTAGCACATAGAATTACAGACCCCTAGATCAAATATGCTGTAAAGAGCATACTGAAAGAGAATATAAAAAAGGATGTAAAACTATTAGAGGAAGAATTAGCTATTTTGACTGCAGTCGATCACCCAAATATTATCAAATTTCATGAGACCTATATTGATTACAGATATGTTCATATCGTGATGGAGCTGTCAGAGGGAGGAGAATTATTTGAAAAAATAGTAGAGATGCATAAGTTTAGTGAATCACAAGCTGCCAGTCTATTGAGAAAAATACTCTCTGCAGTTAAGCATCTTCATGAGCACGGCATATGTCATCGTGACTTAAAGCCAGAAAATTTCTTATTTAGCGATAAAACACCTGATACAGAGATTAAGCTAATTGATTTTGGATTGTCTAAAAGATTCGGAACTATATAGGAGCATGACCCAAGTGAGAAGATGCACACAATTGTAGGTACTCCTTACTATGTTGCGCCAGAGGTACTAAAGGGAAACTACGATTTTTCATGTGATGTTTGGAGTTTAGGTGTAATTCTCTTTATTATGCTTTGCGGTTATCCTCCATTTGAGGGGGACAATAATAAAGAGATCTTTAAGAATGTACTCAAGCAGAAACTAGAATTCGATCCTCAGGATTGGACAGACATCTCTCCAGAGGCTAAGGATTTAATTACTCAGATGCTAATCAAGGATCCTACTCAAAGAATATCAGCAGAGGGAGCACTTAATCATAAGTGGTTTGAGCTACAGCATGACTCAACAGTTTCCCTTGATGCCAAGATTATCTAGAGGATCAGAGATTTCAGAGCTAATAAGAGAATTCAGGTAGAAACATTGACATTCTTAGTCAATAACGTGACTAAGGAAATAGACTTTAAAGGACTTAGGGATGCTTTCAGAGTATTGGACAAGAAAAACACAGGACTTCTAACTGTAAACGAAATAAAAGAAGCATTTAAAGGTTCAAACTTTTCAAACGAGGACTTAGACAATATCTTTAAGAATATAGACTTAAACCACGATGGAGAAATTAACTATAGTGAGTTCTTAGCTGCAACTGTGGATAAAAAGAAGGCATTAACACTCCAAAATTTATGGTTTGCTTTTCATCATTTTGACGTTGAGAACTCTGGATATATAACAGAGAGAGGACTAGAAGAGGTGTTTCACAGAGAAGGCCGATAAATAAATAAAGATCATATTCATGAGATAATGAAGCAAGCAGACCCTGAAAATAAAGGGCGTATTTCATTTGACGATTTTACCAAGTTAATGAAAGCTATAGTTGATATATCTCATTGAAATCACAATAATAAAATATGCTTATTAATTTTTTAGTTACTAAATATTATTAAATTTAGATTACTCTCTCTCTCATCTCTGTTATTTGATTTAGCGGGGTTTTGGGGTTTTGGGGAGATCGGAAGAGCGTCG